CAGTGCCCTGCTTTTAACCCCTGTGTATTCTCGGAGGTGTGTCCAAACCCCACTGGCTACACTAGGTGCCAGTCTCAAACCTAAAACTTTCATTGGTTTGACCACAGCTTCCCAGAATTCCCACTCCTTCCTGGTCAAACCACCACAGCTACTTAATCTTTAAAAACTAATGTGTTGAGATGAAATTGTCAGTTTGGATTCCATTACCTCCTCTTCGTCCTGTTGTTAGAACTGTCTTCAGCTATTGTTAAATCACATTTGCAAGTGTGAGTCTTCAGTGTTTCACCAAATAAGATGCCTCAAGCTACAAACCATGAAAGTAAAGGCAGGCACAACTATAATCTTGACTGAAATTTTTGGTTGCAGTTTGAGATTGGAACCCTACACTCTTTCTAGCTTCTGTAGATTTTCTGTTTGAGTAATGAGCTACTTCTTGAAAGCATGCAGATACTTTCAGTAGCAGCTGCTGTCTTCCATTGGGCTTTCTCTTCTCACTTGATGGGAATGCTTCTGATCAGATGTAAGAAGGTTGGCTAAGGCCTTTTCTGCAAGTTTGGTGTTAAGCAGGGCACAGCAATAGTTCACCTAGACTGCAGGCTAGCTGTGATTTGCTTCTGAAGGACTCTGGAAAAATGACTGACAATGTATAGTGTGAACTGTGCTGTCTGCTCCTGCCAGAATTCCCAAGTGCTGTATTTCTCAGAATCAATTTTAAATGAGTCAAGAATTTCAGGACAAGTGCAGGAATATGTTGAATAGCTGCAGTTGCAGGGCTGTCTGGTACGTCTGTGTTCAGCTTCTGGGAAACCTTGCAGGTTGGAAGGTGGCATATGACTGATGTACCTGTCATCATGTAGGAACACCATGAGAGAACCTGCAGTTGTTTCTGAAGAGTAACATTTTAATGCATGACAGCATACTCCTCCTTACTGTAATTCCCAATCATGTTCACTAAGCATCTCCTCTAAACAAGGTTCATATAGTGTGGGTAAATCATTAGTGCTCCACAAGTCTCGTCCTGGAGCTTTGTTCATCCTGGGTACTGAGTGATTCATTAGTCTGAAGGAAAGCATGTGTTTATTTTGCATGCATATGTAGTGTGAGGTGAAGAGACACACAGAGCAGGTAGCAGAATGAAAGTTTCCCAGTCTGCCTTTATTTTGATATTTCAGAAGTCTTAATGTCTTACCTTTGGGGTTTTAAAATTAATGTGGTTTTGTATGTTATAGCCTGGATTTTTACAGCAGCAGATCCTTCTTTATGGGCAATGTACTGGTGAAATCTTTCGTTTTCTTGATCAGGCTTCTACAGTGCAAGCTGGCAAGTTAACTATCTGTAGTAGGACAGTGACATGTAGTCTGGCTGAGTAGCCACAGGAGAAGAAATATTGTTTTAGTCCACAAGTATTTGTTGACAGTAGAAGAATGGTTTGATTTAGGCTCCAGCATGGGTTATGACAGAGTGTGCTTTGTAGCAGGCAGGATCTTATATACCCCTTGCTGCCTTCAACTTCCTGTATGTACCCTGAGCTAGATGAATGTCATCTCTTGTGACAGCAAAGTAAACAACATGAGAGCGGGTAGAATCAGGACTACTCTGTTATGATTTAAATAATTGTACTCTGACTACTCTGAATTAGTAAAGGAGCTATTAAACAAAAAAGATTTTTTTTTTTAAGCTGTCCATGTCTTTTTTTTTTTTTTTTTGGATGAGATTTTTGACATAAATAGACCTCTAATATATTGCAATAAAATAGTTTATTTCCATCATGGCTGCCGGTTATGCTGGTTTCAATGCTGCCTGCTGGGTTATGGTACATGATTGATAGAGCTTTTATTGATGCGGTGGAAATAATTGTTGATACATTGCCCTGAAAGGTGGAAGAGCAATCAGCAATTGAAGGCTGTTAGTGTATTAACAGCTTCATGTTTTACTGCAGAATTTAATGTGTATGAAATATGTTCTAGTCTGTAGCCAACCTTATAGTGTGCAGTAGCTTCTCTGTCATGATTTGGAAAGTTCAAACCTGTTGTGCTTTCTCTGACATTTTCTTTATGTTTAATTAAATACTACTTGCATTAAAATCTGGTGAAATATTAAAGACCATTATTTTTGCCTAACCAATCATTCCTAGTATCCCAGTGATTTCTAATGCTCTTTTGAAGTTTTTATGGATTTCAGTAGGTAATATATAATATATATAAATAATACTGCAGGTATGACAGTAAAACTTTGCATCATAAGCGAGTACTCAGGTTTGATGATGTAAGCTGTGAGATCAGTATGCAGTGTTACAAAATCTTGGGGTTGTTGAGAATACACTCTGGAATCATAAGATGTTACTCTGTCAACTTCATACTGATTGTAGTGAGAGTACTTTACCTATAAAGAATAAAAGTTTGGAGGTATAGCATATGTTGGATTGTTACAGACTGGAGAGGCAAGTTTGCCAGGTTATTTCAAAAGTATTTGTGGCACTAAATTTAAAATTGGGTTCAAGTGTGTGTACATTTAAAGTAAAATATATGAGTACACTTAAAAGACTGAGGATAGTTTAAGGAGCAATGCCGAGTATACTGTTTCTTCCTTTGAATTCTAAAATTGTAGCAAAATGTGTTCAGTTGTTCTAGTAAAATTTCTTCAAATTTTATTTAGTTGGAAACATAATACCTGTTATAATGCCTGCAGCAGATAAATCTCTCTTCATAACTTCTCTTGCCATATTCCTTTACATTTGAAAGAAAAAGCATCATTGTGTATTTGTATGCTAAATAGCTGTTCCAAAAGAAATGTTGGCTTACACTTAAAAGCACATTCATTATTTTTTCTTTTAGAAAGCTATACTTTAATGCAAAGGTTTTAATTGAATGTGGACCTTTGTATCCACTTTCAAATGGTTTTCTTATGCAAATTCATTTGATATAAGTGAAAATTTATGTTGAAACAGCCGCAGAATCAAGCTGATGGCTCAAACTACTGCAAAGTTTCTTGTGATAAATCTTTCATTAAGGTTCTCTTATTTGAAAAGAATGAGGCTTTGGCTCAAGAAAATCATT